CAAATTTTCATGAGTGATCATTTTTTTACAAGAGTTTATATATTTTAAATAACGTAAAAATACAATGTATTTATTATCACTAAATAAATAATTATATGCTATTAGTGCTATGAAATGCTAAGCTTATAATACTGATGACAGTACGTCTGGCTAAACTCTCAGAGCGTTACTCCGACGATCAAGTTAATCACGATGCTAATAAAACTAAGAAAACCTGAGTGAGCAAAATACAAAAGCCTAAAATACGATTAAATATAAAAATATAATAAAAAAAAACTTTGGCACTCGGGGACTGCCGCGGTAAAGCTATTGCATAGCATTTTGATCCACTTATGCAATTATAATTATTTATTTTTTATTTAATGCAGTATTTATTTTTCTTTGATATTAATTCAATTTACCACTCTACCAGACTCAGACTAACACGCCGACATAGTCTGTCTCACTCTAACGCATACCGGCTGCATATTACGTCATCATGTGTTAGGTTTATTTTTCGTTACGGAATTTTCTGATTCGGTCGCCGCGCTCAAAGGCTGCAATAAAATCTATGCAATAGGTTAAAAAAATAAAAAAAACACATTACAACCATCATATTTCTAATCTACCTACAATAGAATTATTAATAAAAAATATTACATCTTACGGAGTGTAGGTACTTATCTGGAGATCACTAAGCCGGATAATCTTATGCTACGTTAATGTTGCTAGGTCAATAAATCATAAGTTACCTTACCTCCTTACGGGAAAACTATTAACTCACAATTATTAGACAGAAAAAGTTAGATTCAAAATGGACTTAACAAAATAATGTAAACTGGTATAGAAATTAAATAGAGACATAAATGGCTGTTTTTTGTACAAGCATTCTTCTTTTGAAAGTCGGTGATAGCACAGAATGTCTAAATCTGTCACTTGACTGTGATTCATCGTTGTTGACAGATCACAAGTGGCGAGAGCTGGCGTTTCGTTTTGTTCGTATACGTATATTCTACAAAAATTTGTACGTGACAGTAAATTACAGATATTCTTACGTAACGTGACGTACCTATTGATTACGTACGTTTATAAGGTATAATATTAAATGCTTGTTCTTGTTCAAAATCAAATACGTTTATTAAGTTAAGATGCGTCTTAGCGCATGCTTATGAATGTCAAAGTTAGTTTATTATAACATCTGATTAATTTTATTGCAAGGTTTTCAATATAAATACGTACGCTAATACTACCAATGTTATAAAAGTAAAAAAGTAAAGTAAAAAATCATTTAATCATATAGGTAACATAATTTACACTTATGACTCGTCAGTAAAGAAATACATATTAATTCTTCTAATTTTACATAATTTTACATAATTTTATTTTATTTTATTTTATTTTAATAAGTAATTAATAATAATAACATAAATTAAAAAAAAAAACAAAGACTTGTCCTCTATCAGCAGGAGGCATGGTGAAATAGGAGCACGCACTTACATTCTCGTGGGAACAACACGCAAACACATAGTCGAAATAACCAACATCACCGCATACACGAATTCAAGTACGACCAGTCACCACCAGTTCTAATCAGCCTCTTTTTGGTCTATTACTAGACATAGACTTCATCTTCCTCCAGTAAATGTAAATATTTAATGTATATTTCTTTTTTGGCGTTCATAAGTGTGATATGAATAAATGATTTTTGATTGATTTTGATTGATTTGAGTACGCCCTACACTGGCCTATCTACATCCACTGGGAACCAACCTCCTTGACGATGTCGTCAGTCCATAATATAGTAGATGTGCGGCCGCGCGGTCTTTTGTTCTGCCGAGGTTCTGTGGGTCGGGTGTGTTGCTGGCCTTTGAGGGAGGAGTATACTCTTTCTTTAAACTATTCGTAACTCCCAGGGAAGACCCCCATCGGGAGTCGATTTCACAGTTCATTTAAGAAGGTATCCTGTGAAACGTACCGTGGAAGCATCAAAGTGAAGTTTATGACATTTTGAATTAATACGGCTCGTAAAGTGTTAAAACTAGAAACGGAAGAAACGTGTTGGTTTCGGCTCCATAAGTAAAGACAGGCAGGAAGCACTGATTGGAGACCTTTCTTTGAGTGCGAGAGAGAGGGATTATCTCTCCACTCACTCCACTTATTATACTCATAAATATATAACGTATGGCCGCCCGTTATCACCAAATCCGTCCGAGCTTAAAGCTTAACAATAAATTCTAAACATTTAACCGTTTCATTAAACATCTGGGTTACAAAAAATCACCGTGTTGGCAAATAACTGTCCCCAATTGAGGGCAAATGATAAAACCGAATAAGATTTCGGAGACCAAACCATTCGACCGCTACTAATACGATAAGGCAGGTTCACTCAGATGGCATTTTTGTGTGAATACGGCTAAATTCTAGATCTATTTTATGGAAAGTTATAAAACCTTAAAACGATGATAATTTTTCTGTATGTAACATATAATATATGGAACCTCCGTAAAACTAGATATGCTTGTTCCTCTGTAATGATTGGTGCACAGGTTTTGTGTCTTTATCTAGTTTGTGAGGAATTTTTTTTATATAAGTCTTTATCTTGCAATCAGTCAGCTAGACTATGAGCAGATGTGTTGAGAGCTGTTAGGCGTTCAAAGCAAAATCTCCATCGAGACTGCTCTACTCTGTCAACCGTGTCTATCAAGGCTTAGGATTTGTCGCTTTTTAAGCCTATTTATTAGGTCTGGTATGGTTAGTTGCGTGGCAAGCTTATTAGGATGCATTTCTAGCCTTTTTCTGTATTTCATACTCCAGGTCTTGATCTCCTCTTTGACAGTCCTGATTTTGAGGTGCTCATGAATATCCGATGTTTTTATAAACCATGGACAGTTGGATATTTGTTTCAAGAAGTAATTTGAACCCTCTGTATGATACTTATGTTAGAGTCACACGCCGAACCCCATAGTTGAATCCCGTATGTCCAAATTGGTTTCAAGAGCATTTCGTAGATGAATAGCTTATTATCTACTGACAGTTTGGAATTTCTGCCAAGAAGCCAGTAGAGTCCTCTGTATTTCAGGTTAATTTCTTCTCTCTTCTTCTGTATGTGTTGTTTCCATACGAGTCTCCTATCAAGGTTGTAGTTTGTGAGGAAAATAAAGAATATATCTGGTATAGTAATAATAATAAAATTAACAAATAGAAAATTAAAACAAATTCAAAAAGTTTGGTCCCTGTAGAAGTGTACCACTTACCGCTGACAGCATTTCCTCGCTGATACTTATTCGTTGAAGGAGGTAAGAACCAGCTCTGGGGTACAGTACAATCTAACAGCTACACGGCAGCCTTATTCCCGTTAATTGGATACCTTTAACTTTAACTGAGTGCAAGTGATCAGCCTACTGTACCTGATCCACGCCGTCACCATTTTGAAATGATTTAAATCATTCGTTTTATGGTGAAAATATGTGATGAATTGGAGGAAAATATGTAATTATATGTTAGTATGATATACCTAGTATACATTTTTACTAAGATTAGATTATAATTTAATTTTTTTATTACTTTTAGAGTGGAAGTAAGCCAAATGAGTTTGTGTATTATGCAGTAAACTGGCAAGACTATGCTAATTAGACATTGCAATTTGACTATTCCCAGTGGGGGCCAGATGTTACAATACTCGCTCTAATGAGAAATGTTGGACTACTATAATACCGATATCATACCCCTATATTTTAACAATCATTTACGTTTACTAAATATATCATTAAAAATTAATCAGTTTATGTACTTCCTTCTTGCATTGTTTGTAGGTAACTTTATAGAAAAAGGAAGAATGTATTTATAAATGTTTTGTGTTGCCTGTTATTATTCTCTTTATATTGTTAAAAATCATCAAAAACTAACAAGTAATGTAACTGTGATTTTAGAAACACTTCATTATTTGCACGAATATTTAAACAATTTAAAATTTAGAATACCTCTTTATACTATATAAGTCAAGCCTATTCCAAAGATAGGTAGAAACCACATACCTCCTATATACCTATATAGTTAGACCTCTCCAACCGAGTGGTACTTGTTGCACACTCCCTCGAGAGGGGTGAGCTTTGGCCCGTTCGGAGCGTATGCCCCCTTCGGGTGGTGTATATATTTCGCACCCTGCTGATACAGAGTGGTACTGGGTCGGGCGTTTAGCCCTTGATGGGGGCCGCAGCGCGCGAGGAGACGTAGGCTCTACTCGCTGAGACCTCTCCAGACCGTTATATGTATCATCTTCACATACCAATTTCAATTCCATCTGTGTCATAATATTCTTACCCTCCTGTAAGTACCTGCCCACTTTAAATACATTAATCTGTTTCAGAAACGTACGAGCAAGTTTACCACTTCCGCCCACACGCCATATTAAATATTAATGATAGTCATTCTGCAAAATGATGCTTCGAAGCACTAAAAAATAAATACTGCCAGTTCTAGAATGGAAAGGGAAGAACAAATTTAAAAATTTGGGCCCTGTGTTGTACCTTTAATGCTGGCAGCATTTCCTCACTGTATTGTATTAAATCTTTAATTAGCGCCTGTGCACTTGAACCCCACAGCCCAAGAGTCTCTACTCCAAAGGGAACAAAATGAAAGTTGAAGGAAAGTATCTTATATTTGAGCCGTTTTTTATTTCCGCCTGCTCTGCGGCCGCACCAGCTATTGTGATTGTCCAAGGGAGGTAAGACGAGGCGGGTAACGTGTAGGTAGGCCTCAAATACTGGTTCGACTGATGGAAGAGGAATGTCCTGCAAACATAGTAAGAACAATGAACAGTTATCTCCAGGACAGGAGCGTCATCCTAAATTACGCAGGCCATAGAGCAGGTCAAGGCCCAAGCGTTTGCAGATGATGTCCTGCTTATGATAGATGGAGACACGGGAGAGGAGGTAACAAAAATAGCCAATTGTATATTGGATCTTGTGCATAAGTGGGGTGTGAGGAACAAACTTAGCTTTGCGCCTCACAAAACCAATGCGATGGTGGTGACACGCAAACGTAAATATGACAATCCCCGCCTCACGATGAATAAAGAGCCAATAATATTTACCAACAAAATAAGGATCCTGGGCGTAGAAATAGACGCTGCATTAACTTTTAAAGGCCACATTGACAACTTGTACAGTAAGACTATATCAATATATAGACAAGTTTCGAAAGTGGCAAAGATAGGATGGGGCTTACAGCCGGACGTCACTGCAACCCTATACACTGCAGTGATCGAGCCTATAGCCCTGTACGCCGCGGCTGTGTGGGCACAAGCAGTAGAAAAAGTTTTTATTAAAAAGAAATTAGATCGCATGACAAGGGGCTTCGCACAAAAAATTGCAAAAACATATAAAACGACAGCACTCAGCTCAGCGGCCTTGCTTGCAGGGATACTTTCCCTGGACCTTCGCGTTAAGGAGGCCGCGGCCGCATACCTGGCGCGGAAGGGGGGTGTCACCGCACGTAACATATGACAAGACAATAGAGACGCGACTGCCATACACTGAGCCCCCACACCCCGCCAAAAGACTTAAAATAACTTACAAAAAACTGGACGACCCGTCAGAAATCGATAACGTTACTATGACAAAATTATTTACAGACGGGAGCAAAACGTCCGTGGGAGTGGGAGCGGCATGGACTGAGTGGCAAGACGGGACCGAGATTAAAAATAAAAAGGTGAGGCTGGCTCCGTACTGTACAGTGTACCAGGCGGAGCTAGCCGCACTGAGGGACGCAGTGACATATCTGACCAAGAGAAGGCGGAATGCGGCTGTGCTCAGCGACTCTCGCTCTTCACTGGATGCCATCGCGGGTGGACGCTCTCTCGATCCCCAAGTTGCCGAGATTCGCCAGAACCTGGAAGAGTGCCATGAAAATGGCATTAAAATTGAACTCTTTTGGGTGAAGGCGCACGTTGGCACTACGGGAAACGAGATGGCAGACGCTCTCGCGGGGGAGGCGGTTAGGGAAACGGGGACGCGAATAGGGTACGTTGCGTATCCGCTTTCCTATTTGCGACGACTGACAAGACTCAAGACTTTAGACACCTGGAACGAGCGCTATGTGGGGGGCGAAACAGCCTCAGTCACAAAAATGTTTTTTAAAGATGCAAATGCGGCATACAAACAAATCAAGACAAGGCGTTTCGCACCTGACATGGCGCAGATCCTGACTGGCCACGGGGCTTTTGGACACTATTTACACAGACTCAAACTGAAGACAAGCCCCGCGTGTGACTGTGACGACAGAACCGACCAAACGGTGGTTCATTTACTTGTCGACTGTGCGAATTTTGGAAGGGCCAGGTGCGATCTGGAACTCGAGACTGGCATGAGGGTATCCCGGGATGGGCTATCCGACATGTTGCTTGAGCACAGATCGCAGCTGGAAAAATTCTGCGACAAGATTGTCAGATATGTCACTCACAAAAATAGCACGAGAGATAACGCGGGTGTCGCCGGGCAGTGGGCCCCGACTCACCTATAAATATTATGACGATATTTTCGGCTGTCGATATTATGCTTGGCCACTCGGTCACAAATCTGCCTGATTGCGTGGCTGATAGGCTAGGATGTAGGGGTCCCTGTATTAAAAAAAAAAAAAGTGTAGGTAGTTAAATATATATATATATATATATATTATATATGTCGTAAAATATGATTTATATACAAAAATCCTAGACCATAAGCGTTAAACTATTCCTTATTATGTTCTTGAATAACTAAATCACATTAAAATTCGTGGTATTCAAACTATTCACGTAAGTGGTTTCAAATTTCATCGGAGCTCAGTTTGTGTAGAATTCTCTCAGATGGTAACTTCATTACATAAATTTTCAAATTTTCCTTAAACTTTTTACAAGTATTTAAGTGGCAATTATTTTCGTGAAATTTTTTGAAGTGTATTTTTTTCCGCCAGAAATGAAACCATGCGCTTATATAAATATATACATAACAGCAACAGAATGTTACATATAGCATCTAATATTAATACTTACAGTAGGTATATAGTATGCTGAAATTGTTATATTTGAACTAAAATAATATATATTATATGTATTTATTTACACTGAAATAAGAAACGTCATTGCGATAATGTTTTTTGGATCACATAGTGGAAACTTGTAAGAAAGCAAACAAAAGAATGGGTTTTTGGCTTCGAAGGGCAACAACGTTTACTAACAGTATTGTCTTTGATTAACATAACTTTTATTCATTTAATAAAACACTATTTTGACCGGATTGAAGTTATGTATTATTATAAATTTAACATAATTTTAAATTTATCCGACAGAACAGACACACAACACACACAGACAGAACAATCCGCGAAAATAGAGGACACCGTAAGCCATTTTTGCCAAAACCCTCCATCTCTTAGTCGATACCAACTCCGGGGAAATAAATACAGATAATGCAACTTTCTCTGCAGCTGTGATACTTTTTGACATTCAACATCTTTTGTCTTCATTCACCGTGACCACGCACGCTGTAAAGCACGCGAAACGTCGGATAAATTTAAAATTATGTTAAATTTATAATAATACATAACTTCAATCCGGTCAAAATAGTGTTTTATTAAACATTTACTAACATTAAGGGCATCTAAAGCTTGTACAACGCATTCGTTAGAAGTATGTTAAAGTGTGACTAGGCTCCGCATGAAACTAAATATAATAAACTAATTATAAGTTTACTCTTTTTATATTACATAGTAGCGGCCCATCCCAGCTTTGCAACGTGGATATTAATTTTTTTAACTTTTTGGCAAAACATTAAATGCAGGATATACCTAAATAATAATGTATTTAGCAATAGTGTATCGCTGGCTCCCTTTGTGTACGTGACTTGATGGTAACAGAATAAATGACATCAACGGGTAATTTTTAAAAACATTTCACTGACGTTTAGAATATATATCCTTTTTTTTCTTGCAAATAAAAACTATATTAATCAGAGATAATGTAGCATACAAATGTTGAAATAATTTTTGTAAATCGGTCCAGTACTTTTTGTTGTGCGGAAATGGCGCCTTCTCGGAGTAAATTTGTACGCGCTCGAGGCACTGCAAGCATTCCTTTCGCTTACCACGCCTAGTGGTACTCTTTGCTGCTCGGAATCTATGTTGGGAGTCAGAGTGGAGAGCTTACCTGGTCGAGTATGCACTTATGAAGCGAAATTGTTTATTTAATACTATATATATATATATATATATATATATATATATGTGTTTTTTGCTTTTAATATATGGGTTTGGTTTGGTACTGTAAGTACGTATTTTTGTTAGTAAATCAATTTCTGTGATAATTTTTAAAAACTTTTTCCATCCGAATTTGCGGTAAAAATAAATTAAGCCCTGCTGGTGTAAACCGCGTAGCGTGATGATGTAGTACCGCGTAGCAATTCCGCGTAGCATGCTTGTAGCATGACCTCGTAGCAAACGTCAGTAAGCTGATAGTTGAAGGTCAGAGCTATAACTTACAGACTTGTTTCGTTATAAATAAAACAATATTATTTGAAACAAAAAAAGAGCAACTTTGACCTAGATGACGCACGCGACTCTCTTCCCTGTGGTGTTAGGTACGATATCCGGCTATGCAGAAATGTATTAAAGCACAGAAAGCTGATCACATACTTACCTGATGGAAAAAACCAATGACAATGAAACAGATACATCAATCTGAGGCTCAGACCCAAAAAGTTATAGTGGTACTAGTTTTTTATACTTAAGATTGGGAACATTCAAAAATTCACAAAATTATCTCATTTCGCGTCAATTTATCTCACGAAATTTTGTTTTAAATATAGTTTATGACTGTTGTATGAAATTCACTTCTACGGTTATATTAAATTGCTAAAGAGGTCTTATAGTTAAGATTATATTTATGTAATTGAATAACGTAGAGTAGACAATAAAAAGACACCAAATACAGCCGACTGGTTAGTCGTTTGTAAGCGTTCTTTCATTAACATTATGTTCAAACAGAATTTAACCTTGCCTTAGTAATTTATTCAATATCTTAATCCTATGCCCTGGCGAGACACTAGGCAGACATTTTTGTGTCTGTTACATTGATTTTTCTTGATTGATAAAGAAGAATCTAACTTGAATAATGCACAGAGGTCTGATCATCTTCTTGTCTATAAAATAGAAATAAACAAAATTGGATGCAATCTAAGCCTAAGGTTGTAGCGCCATTGGATTATTATTGTTATCTATATAAATATGTTGCTAAACTTGAAGACGGCTGGACCAATTAGAGTGAGTTTTTATTTATTTATTCACACTTCGTTACATTACAGGCAACCCTAGTAAGGGAGAAAACTAAAAAAAGAAATATGAAGGGTAAAGTGCAAGAAGTGCATAGGCAAATCTCATTAAAAAAAATATAGAACCTTAATCTAAGAAAATAAAAAAAATTAATGAAATTTTATTTAATCCTTAAACTCTGAGAATTGTTTTATGAAGAGAAAATCGCACGGAAACATAAAAAAACAGTTTCGTTATGTAATTGTGAACGCAGATGCGTTGTCAAGGCAACGTTCCCTATATTGGAATGTAGAAACTAAAAAGATAGGCTAAGTAAATTAGTAGCAGACGAATAAATATTTTAATATTATACATTTATATTTACTTAATTTGCCGTTACAACCTTAACTTTAGCACTAATTAAAAAAAACAAAATTAGGTTAAGAGTTCGAACTCGAACTATGCTTGTTTTGTTATAATTTGGAAAGTTACCAAATTGTAAACCAGTGAGTTACAGAATCGCAGGGCTGGAACTCAAATATGAATTCATTGCCAAAAGAACTTGAATTATCAAGTTACGGTATACGTAAAAAAAAAATTACTACTGGGAATTATTTTATCATCAATAGCTATAAATAAATAAATCAAAATAATCTCTGCCTACTAGAGAGAACAATATAAAGTTCTACTTTGTCGTGACCGTTACTTACAAAACAGAGAATAATTTCAAATATTTTTTTAAACCAGTTTAATGTCTGGATATTTGTAACTTTTCTCTTCCAGGGACGAGCCAATTCAATATTTTCCGTAGTGAAGTTTCTATCAGTGCCTACTAGTTTGAAATAGTTCTGGAAAAAAATTATCTACTACACGAAATACCTGGTTAATGCGTATTGTAAATACTATCAGAAAGAACAAACAATGATAGCTTAGTGATGATGAAAAACAAATTATAATATTCCAATGTTTGTTTGTTTGCGTAATTACTTATATTATACTAGCAGACCGGTCAAGCGTTGCTGTGGCTAAGGTTTTTGTTATATTACAAAGTAGTAAACTATTGAAGGGAAACGGAGAACACCGGTCATGGGGACCACCATGCTTTTTTGGTGGTAATATCATTAAAGAATTGTGACTATCAAATAATTAACAAATAGTTTGCAATAAAATAATATCGTGGGTATATATTGAGATGTAAGCTATCCTATATTTTAAGTTAGATCAAACCGCACACGGTGTGTAAATTTGATTGAAATCGGTTCAGTAGTTTAGGAGTCCATAGCGGACAAACAACGTGACACGTAATTTATATATATTAAGATTAAAAAGCATACATTATACGAAAACCATATATTTTTGAAACCAGTAGTAAAAACACTAATTTATATGTTAAGTACGTATACGTCTAGTATTGCACAGAGCGCTCACGCAACTCCGAGCGCAGCGTACTATACCTCCGTATATATCCCACTTTGTCCTTGTTCGTTACGATAATTTCGTACCTTACAAAGAGAAACTAAATAATATAGGATAATATTACCCTAACAAACCAACATTTTCAGTTAAATTTGACAATGGTCTAACATACTAGATAACATTCGCGGCCACTTGACATGAATAATGCCGCGCCAGTTCACGTCCTTCACGGAAAAGCATTTACGTGTAAATTGTAATTCAGTTTTAAAATAACTGCACGTTAAAGGACCCTTTTAGAAATTGTACGTGTTATCCCTAGGTTAGGCAGTCGTCGGACTAATAAAAAATAACGATATGACTCATAATTTATTTATTTACACTTCGTTGCAATACGTGTTACGTAATTAAATGTAAAGGAGGGCAACTGGCGGCCTAATCGCTTTCGAGCGACCTCTTCTAGGCAACCACTGTGAGAAAAGATTTTTTTTTTTTAAATTAAAAAACTTAAATTAGATAAGGTAGGCAAGAAGTGCGAAAATACAAATTACGTAAAGTTATTAAGAAAAAAGAAACTAAACAGGAACAAAACCAAACTAAACTAATACAGGATAAATTAAAAATAAAAAGTAAAAAGTGCACATGAACCCAGTCAGTTAGTACGAAAGTTAGGGATATGATGTGGACAGGTAATGTTTGTACAGAAAAAAATAATGTGTATAACTTCTTTTAAGACAAATTTATACGCTATTATGTGTGGCAGAATATACGAACTTTACATTGTACCACCATAACATTTGTGTACCATATTCTTGCAAATAAAT